GATTGGCTCTTATGCATGCATTGGAAATGCTGATTGGCTCAAGGCAAGGCAAGGCAAGTTTAATTATATTGCACATTTCATACAAAGTGGCAATTCAAAGTGCTTTACATAAACAAGAATAAAAGGAAGACATAAAATAAAACGAAAAACAAATAATAAAATGAGTAAAAAAAACATAAAAACAGGTAAAATGTGATATAAAAGAATGTAGAAGAAGAGAAAGAACCGTATAGAGTTAAGCTGGAGTTCGACTTTATAGATAAACCTTTTTTGCTTTCTAAATACAAAGCCTTAAAATGTTGAGAATTTATAAATAAAATGCCACAATGTAAATAAGTTGTCATTTAATAAGAATATGTGAATAACTCAGTTTTGACAAAAATGTCATATACAACCTTATAATTTTAAGGTAATGATATAAAAAATAGCTCTCTGCTTTTGCTGCTATTACACATGAGTTGGAAGTTTTTGACCAGTGTGTAGACTGGAGTATTATTCAATATTTTTGTCTCATACTGATTAACTATGTCATAGTTTGTAATTAACTATAAAGAGCACCTGCAGATCCGCTACTGGCATTTGAAACAGGCAATGAAGTATTGAAGGTATCGCCACTAAAAGACCTTTTTATGTTGTTTGTCTTATTTTCCTGTCTTATTTTGACTTGCTCCTGAATCCACCCTTACCATCTGTCTCTTGTTTCTTTATATTTGATGTATAATTTCCATCCATACTCCAAGCATTGATCGACATCTTCAGTATTCTTCAATTTTCTAGTCTCATCTCAAGCCTTGGCAAGTAACTGAGAAAACAGCAATGTAGACTTCTTACAAAGTATTTTATCTAACCAGCCAGGTCAGAGGACATGGAGAGCTTTTGAGTGGAGGATTGGAAACAACTGTTTCCTGAGTTATTTGCCTTTTTTATCTTTTGAAGTGAATTTCTTTGTACATAAGCTGCCAGTTTGGATGTATATTGTACCATTTTAAAGCAGTTTTAATAAGACTGCTGAGAGTACACTCAGCCTTGGGTAAGGAGCTTAACTTATAAATGACACCTTATACATACTTTCCAACAGCTGATATTCCAATAGCTATATTTATTAATTTTTTTTTTATTAATATTACTAAAAAGCTAATATTTAATTGTCATGGATATAACACACAGTAAAGATAAATATTTTCTCCAGTAAATATTATAACAAATAAATAACAAGTCTAGTATATCCAGATACATCAGAATAAAGTAGCTACTAGCTAACTATGTTTATAAATTACACTAAACTTTACTACGCCTGTCTTATCTGCCTCAGAGCTAACTTACTCAAACTGTCTCCATCACTGCTCTTACCAAATGTCCAGTCTGCATCATTCTCATATCTATTCAAAAGTAGTATTGCCATTAAAACTAGATTTTTTCCATAATGCAAATGTCATTAACATACACCTAATCAACAATATATTACTAGCATTCATGTTGTTATTGTTGCAACTTAAAAGTTCACAGCTGACCTTGCTAGCTAGCTAACCCATTGCAATATTGCACGTTCCACTATTCCACAGTGTTGCCATTTGGAAACACATACATTTAAATGATTTACAGAAAACTTAATTGATAAAAAAAATGAGTAGTGAATATGTCATCGTAACTTACTGGAGATGATGTTAAAGATTTCTTTGTTGATCTGACATGAGTTGATGCTTTGTCTTTATTGACGTTTACGTTTGCATTCAGCAACTACTCACAATGAACGCCAGTCTGCCAGAAATCACGCCACAGAAAAACACTGCATGGGCTCTATTTTGACGGTCCATGCGCAGAGCGCAAAACGCAGGGCGCAAATGCTTTCAGGGCGTGTCAGAACGCATTTTTGCTAATTTAAGGATGGGAAAATCTGCTTTGCGATGTGGCGCATGGTCTGAAAGGGTTGAGTTTATTTTCTTAATGAGTTATAGGTGTGTTTTGAGAATAAACCAATTAGAGTCTCATCTCCCATTCCCTTTAAGAGCCAGCTGCGTCGCGCCAAGAGCGCATTCGCTATTTACAGGACGCAAAGTAAGTCTAAGTGGAAAAACTGAGCATTTCACTAGCAAACAGTTAACAGTTTTTTAACAGAAAACTGTTAAACAGAGCATCTACTGCGTGAGAATGAGAGATAATGGATCTACTTTCACATTCGCTCTTAAATAGGGAAACCTTTACGCACAGACATCAATTAGTCTATAAATAAATAATTTTGTTTGTTAAGCGCAAATATTCATTTTAAAACTATTTCTAAATTCAGTTCTAATTTCCAGCAAGTGAATAAATGAATAATAATAACAAAATGTGCTCAAAAACCTGAGTTATATCCTAAAACACATGCTGTGCCCCTTATGGTCTAAAACCTGACAGGTGGGCAAATCTAAGCTTGATTTTAATAAAACAAATATAAATATGGATATAATAAATAATACTGCTAATAATAATATAATATATAAACATTATACAAAATCAAATTGTTAAGAATGAACTGAAAAAGCCTCCCGAGATGAAGAAGACATAAAAGCAGTGATTTTTTTATTTATGTAGGCTAGAAAATAATATGTTTTGTAATATTTTAATCTTTTATATTTATATCCTATATCTATTCTTATTATATCCTATATATCCTTAATATTTAATTTTTTCATATGTAAAGATATTTGCCTATTGAGCCGTGCGCCTCAGAACGCCTTCCTTTTTAGACCAGAAAGCCTATGGGCACACATATAAGCGCTAATGCATTTGCTATTTAAACAGCGTAGCACAACGCCTTAAATCGACTCTTGCGCCAAGCTGAAACTACTAAAAGACTACTGCGCCGCGCCTTGCGCCACATTGCGCCGGGTGTATGATAGGGCCCCATGTCATGTAACTTAACCAAAGCACATCATTGGCCACACTAAGGTCTTCTCTTTCCAACTAAAACAATTCAATGTTGGTCTTAAAGAAACAGTGACAGGGGAATGAACACAAATATCATGTTGCCATATGGCAACACCATGCGGTAGAGGGTTAAGTGTTCAAAAAAGCCTAGAAGCTGTCTGATGTTTGAATGCTTGGGATATTGAGATATCGTTCAGAATTGTACACACACACACACGCGCACATATATACACACACACACACGGAACTTTTCTTAGGTTCTTAAGTTAATCAGGTTATAACGCCTATATGTATGACACAGTTAATGATGTTACTTAACTGTACGTTCACACCGAAAGCTGCGAGAGCGTCCAAGGTCGCTCTGGCCGCCCTGGCGACAACGCTCCCTGCCTTCAGCTTCTGCGGCGAGAGCGTCAAAACTCGCTACATTGATCTCATATTTAAAGGAGCCGTTGCAGCATATCAGTTACATTCCTGCATAAAACATGTTTCTAGCGAGAAAATGTTTCGCACTTCTTTTCAAATTCATACAACAATGGAAGATCAAGTTGCGTGTGGTGTGGCTTTGCTCTATTTATCCAATATGTGTCCATATGTCTGAAATATCCTGAAGCAGCAGTACTGTTTTGTACTGTCACATTGCGTGAGATTCCCGCTTTTTTAAGATAAATTTATATAACATTAATGAACATCAGTAACTTATTTAATGAATGTTCCTGTAGGAAAAAAATTGGAAATAATTGGAAATCCGGCGACCGCAATAATCAAACCCTTGGGAACAACTGTGGTCGGAACCAAAGTTCACAGGTCTGTGTTCTCTGAACTGCTATCAAGCGATGGACGTCTTTATTTTGATTGCTTGCCGCCAAACCGCGTCATAGCTCATTACCATAAAGTTGACTTCATTTCAACTCTCCTCGACGCTCTTGCCGGCGAAGACGCGCCGCGCTGCTCCTCGCCGCTTATCGCCGCCTATCGCCGCCGGCTCTCATTGAAAATGAATGACTTCCGGCTACTTTGACGCTGCCGCCGCTTTCGGTGTGAACGTACTGTAAGAGTGTGATTGTTGATGTTTTGAGATTGTAAGCAGCATGACCGACAAACTCTGTCAACTTTAATTTAGTTGAATCCCATTGGTCCCGCGACACAGTCTTACATCTGTTAATTGTGTCTTGGATTTTAAATCTCGAAAAGGTCAACTCTGGGTCATTCTCAGCGCTGGGTAAATCTAGCTTTTTCTTTCACACTGCTTATAATTTACTAGGTAATCCAGGGTTAAAAACAGTGTGGAAAAAATCCTCATTTTTTTAAAAAATTCAAGTAATAAAACTGAGTGTTGAGGGAAAACTGATCAAAGGTTAAAGGTCATTTAGGCCTTATGCGGTTTCAACACTTGTTCTGGAATGAACCAATTTTCTTTGCTTTTCCAGCAGAATGGCTAGTGTCGGTCCTCTAGTGGCCTCTGACTGATACTGTCTGAATTTACGTTTTTATTCAATCTTATAGATGTGGAAATGTCAGACCAGTAGATCTTGATTTTACAGGAACTTTTTTTTTGGTCCCCGAGAGGAAAATGACCCCGAGGTTATTGTAGAAGAATAAAAGATACAGTATGTACAGTATAAACATCATTACTTATATATCTTCTTAAAGAGATATGTTCAAGCCTCTGTGTGTGTATGTGTGTGTGTGTGTGTGAGAGTGTCTGCACAGTCCTCTACCCACTTTTTACTACATTGTGCTGTATTACTAAATTTGTTCACAATTTCCCAAAACTTATAAGTGTGTGTGTGAGTGTGTATGTGTTTAGCTTTCCTGGTGTTTAAGTGTTCAACTGATGTGTTTAAGTATTTCATTCACTGCTGTCTGCTTTTTCAGCATCTTTGCTGGTTTGATGTATTTTTGATGAAAACAGGACTGGTGCGACAAAGTATATTTTATTCATGTTTTTATTTACAAATGTTTTCTTTTGTTGGGGCTGTGCCCTCTTCTCAGGATCTTCTGTGTCTTTTCCAGGATTTTTTCTTGAGGCCTGATCTTTTTTCTGGATCCTCTGTTGTTGCTGTGACCTTTTTTTTTAGGATACTTTGTTGCTGCTGTGTCCTTTTTTTAAGCTCTACTGTTGAATCTGTACTTTTTTAGCGTCAGGAACTGTGGTGCTCAGTAGTGCAAATAATCTTTCCCATCCATTTGCACTACATTCCTTATTTCTTATTCCTTGACCTGAAACATACAGACACACACCAAATCAAGGTTATTGATTCATCAAAATAAACAAGAAAAAAACATAAAATTTACAATAAAAAACCTTTTTCAAATGAAAAGAGAATCTATTTTCCAAATCATTAGAAGCTGATCTACAGTTCAGTACCTTAAACCATTGATGGAGAATGATTTCTTCCAGAGGAATCCGCTGGCTTGGGTTTTCCTGCAGGAGAGCTTGAATCAAATCACAGCATTCTGTGCAGAACGATGGTGGGAAGAAGTGACAGAAACACATTATCAACTTCAACTTTACATCTGCTGTCATTTTATTCATCTATAAGATCTGACTCTACTCTCCTTTAGAATCAGAACATTGTCACTATTATCCAATATCCAACTCTTAGTTTTAATCCATCATTTTGTGTGATTTAAACTACAACTGCTCGTCTATGATGTGATGAATGACATCTTACCTTCTGACAATCCAGGCTCAGTCCAGTTTCCATCATCGATCCTCTGCGTGTCCGTGACTTCAGGAAATCGTTGACACAGCAGCAGGAATAACAGAACTCCTAAAGACCATACAGTGGATGGTTCTGCATGGTATTCGTCGTCCAGGTAGTACTCTGGTGGAAAGTACTCCTTTGTGCCTGAAGGAACAAGATTTGGTCTCAGCATGAAACACTAAAGCATGTTTTCTCTGTAACATGAAAATACATGATTGGTCAAATTGACAGTCCAGACTACAGGTGTTAAGTTTAATACATACCACAGAAACTGTCATAGCCAGATTCCTGGAGAAGAGCCCCACAGCCAAAGTCAATTAGCTTGACCTCAAGCGTGTCCGTGTTGACCAGCAGGTTCTCCAGCTTTATGTCCCGGTGGAATACCCCACGTCTGCAGCACATGAGACCGGCCGTTGTTGCCTGCTCCATGATCTTTTGAGCCTGGCGTTCAGTGATGGAGCCGAGAGACATTATGAAGTCCAACAGATCTACACATGGTGAAGGTCGTTCCAGGATCATGATGTAACAATCCTGCTGGTCCTGCCAGTCCAGCAGCTCAATGATCTCTGGAACCTTGCCGCCTCTATGAGCCAGTATCAACAGGCCGATCTCTAAAGGAAGGGGCTCAGGATGACCAGCCTAGAAGAAAGATTAGTTAGGCGGTGTTGCTTCCCCAAATATACTGTTGTCAGTGCCTTTACATGTTTAAGTCTACTTACGATGTTGATGTATTCCATGTTCGATGGCTTTCTGGCAATTTTTACTGCCACCTGTTTAGCAAAACAACACTTCTGTTATAATCACATCAAGTGCATTAAAAAGTGAACATAATATATGTTAAAGGGATTGTTCACCTCAAGGCCATCCTCCAAGCGCTTCCCTTCATAGACGCTGCCAAATCCTCCCTCTCCAATCTCCTTGCCGAGCTCATACTGGTCCAGAATGTCACCTGTTAAAAGATGAATAATTGCAGCTGATGTGAAATGTCAAGCACTGACAGACACGTGTGTAACGTTTGAGGTGGAATAGACATATGCCTATATTCAATAATTCAATACATCGTGAAAATGAACCTGCACAATACTGATATGGTGGACACTTCAAAATACAGCAAACAGTGATTGAAACTTTTAGAGTGCTTTTTAAAAATATATTTATATTTATAGAACTTAATGTAATGTACTCTACTTCATACTGAAGAGGATCATGAGAGAAGGCCACACATTCTCAAATGACCACTAGATTTACCTTCAGAACTCTTCTTGTGGATCTGAACAGAAGTCTGGTCCTCCTGACTAGAGCTGCTGCTGGACTTCTGGACTTTACAGGAGAGCAGCTTTTCAGGACTGTCAGTCCTTCTCCTCTTTCTCTCACTTTCCTCAGCAACATCAGTGGACTGAAGGCTGGTGATGGATATCGGAGGTGTACGAGGATGGAAATCGTTCACATGAGAGCTGTGACAACTTCGTTTTCTCTTTTGGCCACTGAGAAAATTCATCCACTGGTTGTCATCTGTATTTAGAGATGTAAGACATGCATTAATGATAATGATAATGGCTTATAAAATTGATTTGTATTTTGATGTAAAGGGTAAAGACACACTTCATCTTAGAGATCAGAAACAGTCATGAATTGGATTTCTAATAGTAAATGCTCATAATTTGCCCTCAACAAATCTGAATCATACACATTTTATGCCCATCATTGAGTCCATTGAATATTGATATTTATACCATTTCTATATTTCAGTGATATTATTAATAATCTGCAATTATTTAAATGATTTATGTACAATACAGAATGTTGTAAAGATTTCTCTTTTAGTGGTTAAAATATGAGAAACTTTGTTTACCAAACAATTGGTTCTACTTAGATTTGTGTTACAAACCTTAAACAAGTTTAAAAGTTATTTTTTTGTTGTATGTGTTCTGTTTTTAGTTACTTTACTCTCAAAATCATTCCTCATAAATCTGCAGACTTTTTAAACAAAATTCTCAGCAGAAATAGCAAAACATGTCCACAGAATCTGTCTGGGCCTATATGTACATGTACAGAGATCTAGTGAACACAAAGCATGGTCAGATTGACAAACAGTGACTGGATTTACCCTCAGCATAAAGGGAGAGCGGCTTTTCAAAACTCTCCCACCTCCTCTTCTTTCTCACTTGTATCTGAATCTCCTCACCAACACTAACGGGTGAATGGTTCTCAGCCACATTGGCGCTGGATATCGGAGGTGTACGAGTATGTAAATCATACACTTGAGTGTCTTGAGAACAACGCTTTCTTTTCAATGCCATAATAACAGAATTCACTGGGAACACTACTATTACCAACTGCAATGAGAAGACGCAATGAGGAGATTCTGAACTCTCTTCTACTTTTAATCCTGCGTTCTTCTGTTTCTATGACAGCGCATTCCAGAACACTTGTTTACATTCAAAATCATAACACCATATTGGACAAGCTATCTAAACTAGATATGTTATAGACAGACAGGCAGATACAAGCTATAATCTTTAATCTTTCCCTTCTCAATAATAAGGAACAGTATTTTCACCACAAATATCTACATAAATACAAGAAATAAACTTGTAAATACAACACCAACTGATTCTGAAACATTATTGTCCAGGAACTAAATAAAACACTGTCATTTTAAGATTAGATAATCTCAAATAATTTTGATTTAATTAAAGAAAATTATATTAGATGTTGTAATTGCTAACAGAACAAACTCAAAATAACATTATTAGGCCTACATTTAGTCATGTGACGTATGTGTGAAGTAAAACATAAAACTAAGACTAAAATTATTATCCAGTAACAAAATGAAACAAAGTAATTTTAAGCTTGTTTATATAGATTTTAGCTGAAAATACGTTTTATATACGTTTTATATAAATATAAATATAACGGTTTATATTTATATATGACCAATTCCAGTGTTATGGATGTGACATTTGCAGTAAAAACTCAAAACATAAATTCACATAGAAAATATTTGTTTAACACTGTATTAAACTGTTTATATTTTCCAGAACAACTGACCACAGAGTTATGGGATTAGAAAAATATTGTTCTATAAACATGTTTAAAATACTTTGTGGAAATTCAGTGAATTAAACTGCACGACCCAAAAGAAGTAATAATCATCAAAATGATAAGAGTTGGCTCTCTATAAAACAAAAATGATTGATTTTTATTTTATGTAATATTTTTGCATTTATGAGGAAAAAGTGTCTTTATGGATGTGACCGATGTGAAATTGCCACTTGTGACTTTGGTAAATCAGATATAATTGTTTGAAAAAGCCGACAGAGACATTTTTGAGCATTTTTAAAGTTCTATAAAATACTTGCTTTAAAAAAAAAACGGGTTTCGTATTTTGGTGAAAACTAATTTTTTTCATGGCAAGGTTGACATTTGCATTTGCATCTTTGTTGGAGAGAAGAGTTCATATAAATCCTGTTACATGTATATGTGAAATATATGAGCAATTCCATGAAAATGTCAATCTTATCATGAAAAAATAAACTTTTGACCAAAATAACAAAACCTATTTAAATTTGTTCATTAAGGTCTATATTTTATTGTTATGATGTGCTCTTGTTGAATTTTTAAGGAAATTGTTTTTTTTTATCCATGAAATATGAGGATTGTGCCAATGGTAAATTTCATTATCATCCAACCACATTTCGTGCTTTCAAAAAAGGGGTTAAAGACTCACCTTTTCCATGCTTTGTATAACAGTAATAATTCTGCAGAAGGATTGGAGTCTGTAGTATAAATAATTACCCTTACTTTTTCATAACATTACTGCCCTTTTAATTTATGAGCTAAATATTTAAGACATCATGCAGCTTCGGTCACGTGTCACGTCCGTAACGATTTAATGAAAAAGTTTATATTGTGGAATAAATATTATCAAAAATAAAATGAAACTTTGTATACAAAGCCAAAATATGTCCATGCTAATTATGATCGCCAACTCATCTCAGGTCTTAGCTCTAAACAACCACAATTTTGCGTTACGGACGTGACAATTTTTGAACTCCTTATTAATATAAGCTAATGACTAGCGCATATTTGTTCATTATGATGCTGCATTACAAGTACTGACTTACATTACATAACATCCATATGTTATATCAAGAACTGAACATTTCAATTAACTATAAACCACTTTAGTAACATTTCAGAAATAAATGTTTAATAAGAGAACAACAATTTACATATTGCCATAATTGGTGCATAATCTTGGTGTTTTGGCGATGCAGCACCTTGTGTTGAAGCACTTCTTGTTTCTTTTGTAGATAGGCTAACTGACCGTCAAATAATAGATTAAATAGTTAAGATACAATTTATGCCAAACTAGGAATGCTGATTTCGATTCATTTTGCCAACGAACAACCGCTCGTTAAGCGAATATTAACCGTTAACAGATAAATATAAAAAAAATAATAAAAAAAATTTACGTGCCTATTTTATCTGACACATTAAATATTGCATTATAAAATACTGATTTAGGTTATTTTAACATGCGAACAGCATACAGAACGAGCATCTTCAAGCACCTGCAGTGTTTTTTTTTAGCAGCATAGAAAAACCGAATAAACTAACAAAAAGAATAAAATAAATCCTGCTCTAGATCTTTTTCACTTAAAAGACAAATTAAGATTACAAAACGAAAACATTGACTGAATCCTTTTTAAGGCTGTTTGTCCAATCGTGTTTTTTTTTTTCTTCCGTCAATTAACGGAAAAAATGCATTCAATTAATGCTCCGCTGTTATAATATTACAAAACCTGTCAACATTTTTAATAGAAGTCATTAGTTTAAAGATTATATCTTAATTATGATTATGACTTATTAGCATATTTCCTCTGTCTTACTTGTGGTTCATGTGTGTACGCGCGCGCTGCGTATAGTGAAAGATAATGAACCATAAGGCTTTGAACCTATACTTTTTGTAAAGTATAGGCTAAGCATATTACAATTTTGTTATTTACATGTGATACTGCATTAATTTGCATACATGTTTTATAAGCTGTGAAATGAAAGCATCAGTTTGGTGCGAAGTTATCATAAAATATTTGGCTTTGTTTGATTTGTAGATTAGGCTATGTAGGCTATTTAAAAATGTATATAAGAACTAATAATAACTGTTCTTTTCCAAATGGAAAAAGGCTGGTTTGTTGGTTGTAGTCTGCACTAAATCATCAATATGCCTAGTTGAGTTTAGAAAACCGGCTCTAGGCAGCACAGACGACCAGCATCAGCGCTGGTTCGTCAACTCCTGTGTCAAACTGTGGCCAGAATATCCTTCTTTCATTTTGTTTCTTTGGCAAAATACATCTGTAAGCACGTATGTTTGCACCAACACAATCTCACGGCAATTCGTAACTTTTTCATTTAGTGGCTAATTCGTATGAATTCGTACGATCTAATTCGTACAATTTAGTACGATTTGCTCATCCCCCAATGACAGTTGGGGTTAGGGGTGGGGTTAGGTGCCACACCTCCTTTTTAAAATCGTACCATTTCGTACGCATGAACTCGTATGAATTCGTACGAATTAGCCACTAAACTGGCAAAACGTAAAATACTTACGTTTTCTCATAAGATCAGGCTGGTTTGCACATGTTACTGTCCTACGAGTTAACAAATATGTGTTGCTCATAGGGGCCGATCACAACGAACGCGCTATTTCATTTCAGTATGTGAGGCGCA